ACGCGCCAGCCCCATAGGCCGAAGCGTCGACCCAGAGACAGAGAGGGTTGGCGGTGTCGCTGTAGTCTGGAAAGGCAAGCATGACGTCGCGGGCGATCTCATCCTTCAGTTGTTCGAACGAGTCAGTCATTTCGGGTGTCCAGGTAAGCGCAGTGGAGCCAGACTGGCCGGTGAGCTCAGACAGAGGGCGAGCGACCTCCGAGCAGCGGGGAACGAACTTCCGCTGGAAGTTCACGAGGCCGAGGAACCGGCGCAGCTCCTGAACAGTCTGCGGCCGCGGGAAGCTCTGAACTTTCTCGATGTACTCAGGGGCCTTGCGCAGTCCAGCTGCCGAGAGCTGATGTCCGAGAAACTTTACTTCAGGCTGAAACCAGTGACACTTCGCTGTGTTCAGCGTGATCCCGTGCGCCTCCAGCGCCGACAGGACAGCATCCACGAGCTGCAGATGGCCGGAGAAAGACGATTCCATCAGGAGCAGGTCATCCAGATACACCACAAGCTGCTGACGTGAGAATCCCGCGAAAATGGCCTGCATTTCGCGCTGGAAGACAGCAGGAGCGTTTTTCAGTCCGAAACTGAGACATCGGAACCGGTAGTGGGACCGCTGCGTGCTGAACGCGGTGAAGTCCCGCGACTCTTCTGCGATGGGAAGCTGGTAGTAGGCTCGTTGAATGTCCAGCGCGCTGAACCAGCGCATATCATGCGCGCTGTAGACGGAATCTGCTACACAGTGGTCGATAAAACTTCCAACGTGCCAACGCTCGTTGGAGCAAGATATTAGCAATACTTGGAAGAGCTGGAGACAGTCCGCCCGTCTACATGGATGCTTCATTACGCCTAAAATACAGCATTGACTTATGACTTTCTAATCGTCCGGTGCTGTTATCGGCTGCTCGGTACCGCGTGTATGTTCCCTCATTCACTCCTGGTCACCCTACGGTCACCCCTCGCTGGGTCGGGCCAGTCGGCTATTTTCATCCTCTTTCCGGCTAGGCCACCCGCTAAGCTCCCGCCGTGCCGCGCCTTCTGCGAGGGACCTGACCCTTCTGCCGGCAGAGGTTTCTCCAGGTGTCTCCAAGGAGCCATCGTAGCGCTAAGGGTGTGCTCCGCATACACATGCATTGATTTTCGCCCTTACTAGCAGGGCCGCTGGCACGCGTTGGCAGCGCCCCGCGGGCATTTTTTCGCTTAGGGTCATTTTGTGGTAAGGAGGATCAGAAAATCACCCTTCCAACTTTCTCCAGGCCTGGGTGTTTTATCGAGCGCGCCTGAAAACGCACAGTGGACCGGAATCACACTTCGATTGCGTTACTTCGTATAAGGTAATACGATCAAAAGTGCGCTCTTTTCTCAATCAATAAGGACAAGTGCGTTAAAACACACTTATAAAGTTTTAAGTTAAAAGCTTTAAAATGCTAAATTTCAACATTTCTACGCTGATGATAATCGTTAGTTGTTTCAGACTTTGGCATGAAAACGTAGGCATTCAGATCCACCGTGTGACCGGTCACCGTATGCAGTAGTGTGATGGTGTGAGTTGGGGAGTCAAGGCCGTGTGGGGAGAAGGTGAGGAGATGTCGGTGTGCCGACGCGGCAATTGGCAGTGATTAGACAGTTGTGCATGCATTGTTCATCTAGCATATCATTTGCTTGGGCAAATTTATAGGCATGGCGCCTGTTTATCCGTCTAATTCAAAGGAAAGGTGTGAGTACCAATACTGGTCGTACTTTTCATAGTCGACTCATAGTCCAGGTCCTGAAATGACTGGCACCTGAAATTTTCAGGATATGTCGCAAGAGGCTCATTCCCAGACGTTGTGCCAAATTTTGCGGCGCTACGCGACACCACCTTTTACGCTATTCGCGAAAAAAAAAACTTAGGGAGGCTGCATCCCCCCTCCCGCCAGGCGAGGGCTAAGTTGGAGACAGTGATGGGACTAAGATGTTCGTTGGAGCAACTCCAAGCATTTTATCGACCTCTGCTGCTACATCTGTCATCGGGAAACGCTCTGTGACGGTGCGGCGGTTCAGGCGGCGGTAGTCGATGCATAGCCGAAGCGAACCATCGCGCTTCCGGATCGGAACGATTGGTGCATTCCATGCTGAGTTGCAGTGTTCGATGATCCCCAGACGTTCAAGCTCCAGACATTGACGCTCGACATCTTCGGCGATCGGTGGAGACATCCGTCGGGGTCGCACGTAGATCGGGGTGTCATCCATTAGTTCGATTCGGTGCGCGGTCAGAGCAGTCCGCGGGGTGTCAGCGTCATCACCCCCGAACACTCTCGAGTGCCGGTCGAAGATTTCCTGCACGGCGTCGCGCTGTTCACGTGAGAGGCCAGGTATCTCGTCAGCGGACGGCGGGAGACTGACCTGTTCGTCAGCGGCGTCCGACGAAGCGGCAAGGACTTCCACGGGAGGATCGCAGTCAAACATGCTGTCCGCTGCAGTGTACAGCTGGCCGATCAGTGCACCTTTCCGGACAGTGGTTGGTACAAAGCCTCGGTTGCAAACCAGCACACAGGGCTCGGACAGATCCACAATTCCATCAACAGGTTGCAAGCAGGGCGCACTGGCGACGTCCCCAGTGAACACATACGAGCGGGAGGGCGCATCACAAACGTCGCAGGTAGGCTGGGAACTGATCAGGCAGGGGAGGGTCACAGAGTCACCAGGCGCAACTGTGACGTCTCGAGTCGCGCGACAGGGCACTGCGCGGGCGAAATACGCACAGGCGGAGTTGCGATCCCCATCAGGCAGGTACAGCGTCCACTGCGAACCATCCACATGTCGGCCAGTGACCGCTCGGCGAGAGACATCGATACACAGTCTGTGTCGTTCCAGCGCGTCACAGCCGATAATCAGATCAGTTACGGCGCGGTCCGAGTCGAGCACCAGACAGTCTGTGAGCTGAAGCGGCACCCCGTGCAGAACAACGGAGACCTCTGCACGTCCCACCGGATGTAGCGTGCGGCCGCCGATCGCGTGAACAACCTCAGAACACGGTCGAATCACAGCATCATCAACCAAGCGTCGCGCGATCATGGAGCGGTCAGAGCCAGTGTCTATCACGCCCGTCACATTCTCAGAGCACCCAGCCACAGTAAACTTCGCGTGAAGGGCTGGCTGCGGTCGGGCAGACGAGGCGAAGACAGCTTCCGCATGCAGGGGAAGCGCGGGGCTAGAATCGGTCGTAGCGGCTGGCCCCGCCGCGGCAGTACGACCATCTAGTTTTCCGTCTGACTGAGTGCTGGGGCACGCCGGCCGCGGCGGAGGGCTCGAGAAGCCCCACGCTCCGCATGCATTACAGCCGGGTTTGGCGGGTCTTCTCGGGACCTGTCCAGCGGGAGTGGCGAGCTGGGGCGGCGCGCGCGACCTGGGGCTGAGGGGACAGGCCCATCGTCGTGAGAGGTGCGGCAGTCACGCGCAAAGTGGCCAGAGGCGCCGCACGTGAAACACAGGTCATTGGCACGCCGGCACTCGTCCGCGGTGTGACCGCGGCGGCGGCAGAAATCGCAGCGCAGAGGGTTCCTTTGACGGTCGCGGGTTGGCGAGTGTGCCGGCTGCACGGCAGTCGGTGCGCGGTGTCCGCGGGCTGACGCACCACGTGACTTAAATGCACCGCACGGGACGCTGACGGAACGATGAGAGCAGTCCGAGTCGCTGTCTGACTCGTCAGCGGACAAACGGAGGTCGTGGTGCGCAGGACGTGACCGTGGTGACGTTGTCCGGGGGCGGGAGCTTTTGCACGACCGGCGCGCGGCCGTTGACTGACTGCTGTGCTCCGCTGAAGCACGTGCATATAACGAGTCGTGTGTGCCATCAGCCTCCGACTCGAATCGTTCACATTCCAGGTATGACACCAACCCATCCCACCTGAGCGTGGTATCATGATTAATCAGCGCATAACGCAGCTGCCGGCGGAGAAAGTCAGCGGCACACGTGGGCAGCGTTGACAGCAGTTTACGTCGGAGATCATTGCTCACCTGTTTGTCCGCCTCAGGGTACGCATCTTCGAACAGCGCAGCCAGCCGGAACGCATACACTGCCAGAGATTCTCCCGGCCGGCGCGCCGCGTCCCGATATGCGTCCGTCGCAGTCGTCTCCTCGTAGACGCGCTGACGAGCGGCCCACTCCAACATTCGGCGCTTGATCACTGGGTACGGGCTGCGGGGTCCGTTAGCATCGAATATTTCCAGAACGCGGCCCGACAGCTTTGAACGGAGCAGCGGCAGCGCGTCTTCCATTGTACCGCGGTATTCAGACGTACAGTACCTTTCAAACCGGGCGAAGAATTCGTCCATGGGCTCTGCTGGATCTTCACGAAACGGGAGCAGGTCGTGAGAGCGAGTCGGATGACTCTGGACCGTCTCACGACTCACTGGAGGCCCGACGGGGGCGACGGCATCGTTTGTACCGGCGCCATTGTCGCCCGCCGGAGCCGCCCTGACAGATACGGCCTGCTGTAGCGCTGTTATCTGCCTGTCTTGATTTTGCATATGCTGCCGCATTTCTTCCATGAATTCGAGCATAGCCGTCGGTTTCGCCTCCGTGATGGCGTCAGCTGGCGGCTGTGGTGAATCACTAGCCGGCGCGGGGTCAGAGGCCGGCATGGCGTCGGAAAATTACCAAGTTACGTTTAAAAAAAAAAAGAATACTAACGGCACGGTACTGAGTCTCGCTGGACTAGGGACGCAGCGGACGAGCCCCCAATGTTACCGGTCGCGTGTACTTTCCGGCTTCTAAGACGAGAGACTAGATTAATGGCAAAAAACTGTATTGCCAATCACACGGCGATAACAGACCCCCGCGGGTTCCCAGACTCGACTGCCTTCCCGCCGCGTCTCTCGCCGCGCCGCGTCGCGCGGCGTCGCCATGGCAACGGACAGAGGAGATGCAAACTCCGACACACGTACCCACGGACGCACGGCGGAGGGCGGCTTGGCGACAAAGAACTAAACATTTTTACACTGTTACAAGGCGAACCAGGATCAGCCTCGATGCTCAACGAGGTAGACGAGGCCTCCACCCCCAGCGACGGCTCAGAACTCGGTGGAACCGCTGCAGAACCCGCACCCGGCGCCGGCCCCGCAGCGCCAGATACCTCCACCAGTGGCTCCGAAGCGCCAGCCCGCGACACCGCCGGTCCCGAAGCGTCAGCCCCCGACACCGCCGGCCGCAAAGCGCTGTCTCCCGACTCCGGCGGCTGCGAAGCGCCAGCTCCCGATACCGCCGGCCAAGAAGCGCCAGCCCCCGACCCCGGCGGCACCGAAGCGCCAGCGCCCACCGGCTCCGCAGCAACAGCTCCCGGCGGCGCAAGCCCAGGGCCAGCGCCGCTCCCTCCAGGGGTAGAGGCGAGACCTCCCGGCGGCGGGGCACGCGTGACAGAGCCCTCTCCGGACTCTCCCAGGCCCCGCGCCGGGCTCCCTCCGCGGCACCGCCGCGTCCATCGCGCCGGTCACAGGCAAGGCAGGGGCGGACCCAGCGCCCGGCGCTGGGGCGGCGGCACCTCCGCTCTGCTGCAGAGCACTTAGGACGTCCGGATCGTCACCGAAGATGTCTCGTAAGCTGTTCAAGGAGTGGATCTTGATCGTAGGCCCGCGCTCCCTCGTCCGGATCTTGATCTGGCAATTGTTGGTCCAGGCTGAATGGATCTTGCCCTTACGGCGGAGCTGACGGTCAGGGTAGGTTGGTCAGGTCAGGTTCTCAGCAATGAACGTCTGAGCTAGGACTTGCTGCGTCAGGTTCGGGTGATGCTGCACTCGTCCTGCTTTCAGATTCCTTCTTCCTTCAAGAAGTTCTTGTCTCTTGTTGAAGGAGACGAACTTGGCTATTATCTGTCGTGGCTTGCCTCGTCTCAGCTGGCCGACCCGGTGACTGGTGAGAGCGATCTAGATCCGCCGCTGTCAGTGTGATCCCAGCGGCCCTGGCTAGATCTATCACAAGGGCGTCCGTGTTTTCACGCTCGTCTCCGGCACACCACTGATCACTAAGTAGTGTGTTCCTCCTGGAGTACTGCTCCATGGCGTCCATCTCTCGAGGCGGCCAGCTGAGCTCTAAGCTGCTCGATCACACGTTTGTTTGTTTCCCGAGCCTCTGCCACGTACCGATTGACGAGTGATGCCAACAGCTTCTCCTGTAGACCGGCGATGAATATCCCGTCTTCGAAACACGTTAATATGATGCTTTTCACATTGTCGGGCTCCATATTGAGCTCCGTGACTCACCGCCCGCCACCGATCACTCACTATTTAGGCTGTTCACTGTTCTGGCCGTTTCTCACTGACACAGCACTGGGCGAGCTGGGACCGTGAGCGCAGGGTCGCGGTTTTGCGTCCGACCCGGGCGGAGGTCAGTTGCAGACTTCTCGCATTTGGCTAAAAGTCCTGCATGCCATATTTTCTCGAAGTATCTGCGTAGTGCTTATGTCTAAGTAAATTGTCGTTAAGTCTTGTCCTTTGTCGAGACAATGATACAGTCTGTCTGTTAAGTACGACAACAGCAGCAGGAGACCAAGACGGCGGGCACGGCACTGGTGACAGTGACGGGTACCGGTGTCACCCACTATGGTCGAGTCTGCGTGTCCGGTGTCGTGGCTTACCTACAAGCACGAACGTTTTCTTGCACGGCTTTTTGGAAAACTCTGCAGTGCGGTCTAGGAGTGAACGTTTTTAAAAACTCGTCATTTCTTTCCATGCAACGACATAATATGAGAACGCCTTTAGGGCCCACAGGGGGTGCCCCAAATCAAAAGGTACAGGGTAATGGGCTTAACCTGAATGCCCGCGTATGCTGGATACGCCTCTGCTCTGGAGGCTGAGGGGCGCCATGGTTTTTTTTTCTTAATGGGGCGCCCAATCGCCTGTGATCTTTAACCCTCGCCCGCAGATGGGGGGGGGGGGGTTGCCACCCCCCCCCAGGTAGTCTTTCTGCTCTGCACTCAACATTTTTAGAGCTAGAAGGCTGATTTTTCGTATAGCTGCTCCTCTATCCTTTCTTGATGTCCACTGAAAATTTCAAGTTTCTGTGATTTTTGGTTTCGGAGATATGACCTTGTTTTTCAGGTCATGTCATGACCCAAATGGCCAGTTCTCAACATCTTGCGCTGGCTATGGGCCTTGTGAGCTTTTGACACCTTGATTTCGGCCTTTTTTGCCAGTCTTACCTCCCAACTACCATGGAACATGTTGTTCGACGATGTACAGATGTCGAGGTCAAGGTCAAGGTCAACCTAGGTCATCTAAGATAATTGCGTTTTAGGTAAGCGGAAATTACTTTTTGTCAAGTTTTTTGACTACATTTTTGGTAAAAGCTTCTCAGATCATGATTTCATGTAATATGGACACAAAAACAATCGGTGCACACATAAGTATACACACAGACACACACAGACATACAAACACATATTATTGACCTTGACCTAACTTGACCTGACATGACCTCAGCAGCAAAATTCTGGTCGGGTAGTGTGACAAAGAGGTTCTAGCTGGCTTGGCACCAGAAAACAGCATCGTCATCGGTATTTGATAAGCAGCGCACTTGATATCCAACGGTGACCCAAAACAGCAACATTTTTTAGTTTGACCTGACCTGGAAGGTCAATGACTGACCTGAGAAGGTAAAACTGGGTATCATTGGATTCGTCTCATCCCAAAGAATCTTTTTGGTCTTTACCGCTAAGCTCTATCTCCAACAGGAACGAAATGGCGCGGGGGTGGCAACCCCCCCCCCCCCATGTGCGTTCTAGGATGGGAAAATGGCATGTGCGGGCGAGGGTTTAACCCCTTGCAAGGGCTTGTGTAGGCATGCTTCATGAGCTTGAGAATTTATAGCCCATTGCAATGTGCTTTTGGCTATATGTTTTAACTAAAAACAACTTATTATATACTATCTGGTTGCATTTCATTGAAAGTATCAACGGCCGGCTGATGGCTGGCTGCCCACAGTTTGCCACGGCTGTGGGCGGCTGTGGCTGTGGAGCCACATCTGCGGGGCGGCTAGGCTGTGGAAAATTGCAGCCATGCAGAACTCTACCTCCAGCCCAGTTGCCTCAAAGTTGCCTAACTATACGGGAGATGTGGGCCCTATGGGCTGTTTTTGTGGCACTTCAATCAAGCAACGCAATCAAAAAGGTAATTCGTGTTAGGTGAGCAGCTCCTTTTGCACGCCTGAATCAAGAATCTCGCAACGGCAAGTGCCTTTGCAAGTTCAGAAATACCGTTGCAAAGTTTCGCTCTCAGACAAAAGCATTGGATCGGCTTGCACATTCATTTGCAAGAACCGTGCCGGGGACTTTGACCTTGCGGGAGCAAAGTGCCGCCCCTATCGCATAGTTGCACGCGGTATGAGGTAAAATGGCGCGCGCTACCGTTCCACGCTCAACGGAGGGACTGGCATTGACAGTTCTGCACATGGAGATTCGGCACTACGGGATCAGCTATGTGGTCACGACCGGACCCCGCCCTTGGGCCGGTCAGAGGAGGTATATATAGCCCGGCAGTGGACTGCTAGAGCGCAGTCAGCTCTCAGCGGCCATAGCAACCGTCACCATGATCAAGGTAAGCCAAATAGACCCGCATAGAAACTGAATGAGAGAAATCCTGACAAGTTTTTTCAGTTCTGAGACGAGGATTGATTTCATCTGCCGCGATACATAGGTGTGCTGCAACCCGAACCATATTGATCATTGACACATTAGAAATTTAAAGGAAAGGCAAGCCGCATCTCATTTGTATGAAGGTACAGTCAACACAAATTTTCCAAGCTTCAACAGCGAGTTTATAAAGGAGTTTATTTTATAGTTACTCAATTACACGTCTTAATTCAAAATTGAAACATATTTTAAACTGCTTGGTTATTTGTAATGCGTAATGCCTAGTGCTTGATTAGCTTAAGGTATGCGTTTGAGGCCCTCCTAGCTACTATGTAGAGAACTATGTAGCATGTAATCATTGTTTTTATTAATTGTTCTTTATTAATTTATTAAAAGTAGGCAGCGCTTCCTTAATCCTTTTATACCGAATCAACTTATGATGGCGTAGCGAGAAACGCGCCCTAGACTATTTAGAAAATGCGAATGGTGATAGCCGTATGTTACGATTTTACAACATCCTTTTTCAATGTGTTTTCAGTTCGCCGTTCTCTCCCTGTTCGTGGCCGCTGCTGCTGCCAGCGGAGGTGGCCAGAGCCACGTCCACGTGTCAACGTAAGGAAACATAAACGGCGATTTCCATTGGTTCTTCCTGCTTCCGCCTGCTTACGCCTGCACAAGTTCTTGTATTTGGGCCCGGTGCGATTTCCGTAAGGGAGGTCTTTATTAAACGTCAGAGAGGATATAGTATTGAAGTTCTATCGACGAAAATTTCAAAACATTTTACTTACTAAAGAAACATTGCACGATATAAACGCCAATTTTTCTTTGCTATAATTCAGAATTCATTGATTTTGTGAGTGATGTCATCACCCGGCGGCTAGACCAGACTTAACACAGGACTTAACACAGAAGTATGAACCAAACAACTGACATATTTCTCACATTCCAGTGCCACGCCGTACGGAAGCTCGTCGTACGGATCTGAAGTGTACCATCCCCAGTACGTGTAAGTACACATCAATATGTATTTACGAAAAAAAACACACTTCGGAGTCGATCGTATATAAGCATGTTTACATGCATCGTATATGTGATCGTATATGTGCATGTTTACATCGTATATGTGTAGTTTTACATGCACATATACGATCGACTCCGAAGTGTTTTTTTTTCGTAAATATTGGTGCAAAACGAAGTTGCATTTCTTTTCAATAAATATGTATAACTACTTATGCAAAGGACAGAGTTCCGCGAGAGGCAAACCAATAAGAACTCCAGCATATGAGTAAGGGAACGAGCCTCGACAGTGTAGAACATTACGGTCTCCAGTCATAGCTTGTATATCTAATATGTTAATTATATCCAACGTAGATTAATAATTATTACACTATTGCATACAACGTTCAAACACATTTCTATCTCAGGTTAGTGAAATAAACTTACAATTCTGAATGAGCATGTTAACAGTATAAGAGAGCATTTCCATAACAACCCCAGATAAAAGTGTTAACGTAAATGTGAAGGGGTAACCAATGGCTTGTTTTCAGGTCCGGTGGATACGGTGGATACGGTAAATTCGCTGGAGGATCCGGTCGGATCTACGCCCAGGGAGAAGGGATCGGACTCAGCCAGGGCGGTGGATACGGCGGATACGGACAACAAGGATACGGACGCGGCGGACTCAGCGGATACCAGTACGGATACAGCGCTGACGTCGGAAACGGATACGGACAGGGCGCCATCGGAGCTGGATACGGCGGACCCATCGGCGGACCCATCGGCGTAGCTGGTGGATATGGTAGCGGATACGGAATTTATTAAAACAAAATTGTGATCTGAACACTCATACTGCCACAATCAAATGTTTCAGGATATTCGTAATCTTGCAACAGTGTGCATGCTTCAATGTTTCTCATAGCTACGATAATACATTGTCACGAC